CCGGGAATGCCAGAAGGCACAGGTAAGATGTCGAAGCAGAAATTTTGAACTAATTAAGAGTCCCTGGAATGACAAGTTGAAGTCCCAGTGGGGCCTATCCAGCCCCCTTCTTCCCAGGTACAGGGAAAACGATGCTGAGCACCACTACTGCATGAAGTGCATTGTTGCCCAGAGTTAATAGAGATAGCATAGTACTTTCTACAAGGAACAAAACACCTTCCTTCTGTAACTTCTGAAGGGGACATTGCCCTAACTGTATTCTCATAGGGAAAATGGGTTGAACCCTCTTCAGTCACCACCACCAAATCGTAAGGAACTTAGTAGTTGGAGGTTTTTTTAATTATTACAATATGAATAGGTCTGAAAGTGTGATGGAGAAAAGTGCTGCTTATGCTGGTTTGGCTTCATTGCAATGCATGAAGTAGGATCTACAAAGGCATGAGTCAGTGTGCCAGAGCTGATTTGTTTCCTGATTTTTGTGAAGTGAAAAAAGGTGATGTTCAGCTTACCCTAATTTTTTGAGCTTTCTATCAGCTGGGGGGTGATGCATCTTAAAAGTGAAAACTATTTGTTCCTAGTGCTTAGCAGCAGCTGAATTAAGAAAAAAAAAAAGACTTGAAAATAGTCTGGACAAAATGAAACGTCTTATTCCGTTATGCAGTTTCTGCCTAGTATCTGTAAGTCCTCTTAAAACTGGACAGTTGGAGAATATGACACCCCTACAAAAAAGAGTTGGAGAAAACCTGGATTTCTGGTGGAAAATAAAAATAAGGGAATTTATGCGGAAAAAAAAATCAGGCCTCCTTCGCCTCATAAAGATGCAAAAAGAAGAAAAAAACCCAAAACAACAAAAACCCACAGAAGGGAGAAGGTGAAAGCTCAGCTTGCCTTCTTGTGCTTGCTTTCTTGTGCCCCTGGCCAAGCAGGTGGTAGCATGAGGCCCCCATCCGCAGCCCAGTGCCTGCCCGCTTCCCAGCCTGGCACTGTGGGAACGGGAGGAGTTGTCTCCTGCTGCAAGGAAGCGACCTGGTGAACCAATAACCCCTTTCATGTCTGTTTACTCATCTTCTGTTTGTTTTCAAATGGTGGCCAGAAAAAAGAAAAAAAAAAGGGAAAAAGAAAGCACGGAACAACGGAACATCTCTGGGATGGGGGGGAGGGGTAATAAGTGTTTTGTAGTAGAAAAAGGTAAAACAAAATGCATACTTGGTATTTTTGCAGCAAAAAGTGGATGCCCTCCTTCCCAGAGGCAATGGCTGAAGTCTCCCTGAAAATCAGAGGCTTTCCAGGGTTTGCCAGGGAAGCCACAACCCTCCACAGACGGGTGTACCCTGCTGCCCTGCCATAAACCCCTGGGCACCCAGGGGCTGGGGACCACTGGGCCAAGTGGTGGCAAGTTAGAGAAGGGGACCCCAAGGTGGGGGCATGGACAGGCACTGCATGGAGTTTGGAGCTAATAAGCAGGAATGCTTCTTGCGATGTTTGACAAGTCAAAGGCAATGGGAGGAAGGAACTACAGCAGGAAGCTTTCATAAACTTTCCTGGCTTCTCCATGAGTTTATTTTATAGGGAACTTTCACCAGATGCAACATTTGGGGGTTTAGCACGCATTTGGGGTTTTAGCATGCATTTGGGGTTTTAGCATGCATTTGGGGTCTTAGTGTGCTATCCCATTCTCTACAAAACTGGCTTTTGAGTCACAGAAGGAAAAGCAAAGTAGGTGGTGCATAAAAATAACTGCAGATTTGTTACAGTCAGTACACCTATGTCAACCAAGCAAGATAGCTGTATCGACACTAACATGCACTTGGGAGATTTCTATGGGAGATTTGTGCACTTCCTCTAGGAAGACAGGCTGAGAGAGCTGGGGCTTGTTCAGCCTGGAGAAGGCTCAGGGGAGACCTTAGAGCAGCTTTCCAGTACCTAAAGGTAAGAGAGCCAGAGAGGGACGGACATTTTACAAGGTCATGCAGTGACAGGTCAAAGCGGAATGGTTTTAAACTGAAAAAGGGGAGATTTACATTAAACATTAAGAAAAAGTTCTTCCCTGTGAGGGTGGTGAGGCCCTGGCACAGGTTGCCCAGAGAAGCTGTGGCTGCCCCATCCCTGGCAGTGTTCAAGGCCAGGCTGGACAGGGCTTGGAGCAACCTGGTCTAGTGGAAGGTGTCCCTGCCTGTGGCAGGGGGCTGGAACTGGATGAGTTTTAAGGTCCCTCCCAGCCCAACCCATTCTGTGATTCTTTCCCAGAAGGAAGTTTTCAGAAGGGTTCAGCCTTTCAAGGAGCTTTGTGATTCAAAGTTTGAATTTTGAGCACTCAGTGCTCAAAGCCCATGGCCTGCTCCAGAGGCTGCCCCATGGCAGTGAAAGAGTTACCTCGAGAAGCAGCCCCGGGTGATAAAAGCGGATAAGCAGGAACTCCATTCATGTGCTGGGAGCACTGCCTGACCTCGGGCTATGTCAGAGGAAAGGCTGCCCAGCTTCTGGGAACAAAGGGCAAGGGAAGGAGGGTGACTCAGGGGTCCTGCTGGTCTACATGGGATACCGGGGAGGGTGGATGGGCCATCCCATGGCCACTGCAGCACAGCCACAGCTGAAAGCGAATCCACACACTGGCCAGGCCCACCTTCTGTTTTAACAGGGGAAAAGAAGTTTTCTGGGTAGTTTTTGTTGGTTTACGTGTTTCATTACATCTGGGAGCAGACCTGAAGGTGTAGTTTGCACTGGGCTGGCCTGCGGTGCATTAACAAACAGGAGTCCACTTGGGGAAAGGTGTCTGAGGTATTTTTTTTACTTATGTTTCAAAAGCCACAGCTGGAGCCACCTAAATGCAAATGCTTGAGGAGGAGAAACATGAAATGCTGAGGGATGGGCCTTTTCAAGCCTAATTATTAGACACCATCTACCTGTAGCCCTGCTGCGGTGAAGCATGTGCTGAAGTGTTAGGAGCCAGGGCTAGCAATGTCTCAATTCAGGAAGAGCTCAGCTACTCCTCCTGCCATCAATTTCCACACGGTCCTGCCTGAGGAGGGGCTGGGGATGCTGCTGTGCCGTAACATCCTGCACACCACACTGGATGTCCCATGCCACTTCGGGGGCAAATTAGACAAGAAGAGTGGGTGCAAATGGCAGGGGATGGCAGCCATCAGCCCAAGAGGGTGAGCAGGTGGCTAAGCATCCCCGGATCAGCGTTCCATCCCACCGAGATGCGGCTGCAAACAGGACGGATGAGCAGGGCTTGGCCCAGGAGCAGAAGGAAAGGATCCAGGGGCTCTGTTGACATAATAAGCCACTAGAGAGCACTCTCAAATGTATTTATATCCTTTGCCTAAGTGCTGGTTCACAAAAACACGCGGTTGCCATGGCCTGGTTTACAGCACATCTAAAAAGAGAGCTCCCAAACATACCAGGTTTTCTCAGGCCATCACAAAGGCCGTCACAGCTTCCCTTGCGCAGCACCTTTCCCAGCCCCTGGGACCTGGGCAAGGGGCAGCACCCGTGAGCCCCATGTACCCCTTCTTACCCCTCATTGTTACCTGTTTACAAGTAAGTGTCAGAAACAGCATTAAAAAAGTGGTGGGAAAAAATATTGCCCTTTGGCAACTATAGCTTTTTCAAGTTTCCTTTTTTTACACCAAAAAAAAAAAAAAAGTGCAAGAAATATTTAAATCTCTTAGTTTTCCTTACACTCAGTGCCAGAAGGAAAAAAAGATAATGTGAAAATGGCAACAGGTTAGTTCAGTGGCTATCAACACAAGCACCATGCAGGTGATCTGCCATGAAAAAACGGCTTTGGAAAAAGGAACAGTAATCACACGTTCTTCATTAAAACACTTTTAATACTACACAAATTACAGTATCACCTTTTAAAAAGTTTAAAAAGGAGTATTAACAGTAGCACTGTTGCAGCTAAAGCACTTCAAAATAATAATGATTAAAAAGAAAAAAACAAAACAGAAAAAAGCTTGTAGCCCAGGAATTAATAAACTGGTATAAAGGGAGAATCCACTGGAGCATTATTGTAATTGAGTAAAGCAACCAAAAAGAAAAAAAGCAACCTCGAATGTGAGAGAAATGAGCTATGTATGAACACCCTCAGTTTTCATTTTGCTTTTTTTTTTTGGTTTCCTTTTGCAGTTCACAAGCTTTATGGCGCAGATTAGACTTAGTCAGGGTCTGGAGGCTGAACATCAGCTGACAGAGCATAGCCACCACAAGCCATTTCTTTTCCAGCTACGTGTCTCCCAGGCCACCGCCTGGCATCACCGGCCAGGAAGTTTCCATCCTCTCCAGGAGTCACAGAGCTGCAGAAGCAGAAGCAGGGAAGCCAGGGGGGAGAAGGAAGGTTCACTTCCTCATGGGCCTCTCTGCCCAGTCACACCAAGGTGTGTTTTTGGCCCCCAAACAAGGATATGCTTTGTCAGGAGCAGGTCTCACCCTTGGCAGGCTCAGAGCTGGGCTACCTGATAACACAAAATGGGGTGTGGGGGGGACTTTTTAGGAAGGCTTTGGGATTTTGATTTTGCGTCTCTTTGTAAGAGTAGGGATAAAACCTTAATCAAAAACATGAACTTCATCCCATGGGAGGTATTATGCCAAGCAACTTTGAAGAACTTTTTACCATCTATCAGCTCAAAATCCTTTTTTTTTTTTTTAATAAAGTGCCTAAATACACATTTACACAGATCATAGTGGTTCCAAAGAATCCTTTACAGTTGTTTTTTATATATATAGGTATATATATAGATATATATATATAATGTGCGTTTTCTTCAAATTGGCTAAATGTGTTTACATAAGACACCAATCTTGACTATAGGTATAAGTTTTAAAGCGTAATATTGACTCAATGAATTTGTTTATCATGCAAGTCTTATCTAATATTACATTGACCTGTAATATGGAACACAATGTAGTGGGTGTGCTCATTAAACACTTCATAAAAAAATCACTGAGCATGTGCAATTCTGATCTTCAAATGCTAAATGACCATTTCTTTAAAAAAAAAAAAAAAAAAAGAAAAAAAAGTAGTCTTCCAAAAAAGATCTACTCTGCATTCAGTTGTAGTCTGAACATTATCACAATAAGAACAGTTGACTAAAAAGCACCCAAAATGCTTCAAATTATAGTCGGCTGAACAGATTTTTCCTCCTCCTCCTCCTCCTCTGCTGATGCTGAAAGTGTTAATTAGTCCATCCCCGGGAAGGGACAACCTCGCCACCCTCTTGCTCAGGAACAGCCACTTATAACCAAGTTATAAACACCTCAACAGAAGGGCTCATACAGCTGCAGCATTGCCAACATACTATAAACAGCACGAAAACATCACTATAAGACTCGAACTATTTCTAGTAACCAATGATTTATTGATTTTAGAAGTCTGCTTGGTGATGCAGAAGAGTGATCAAAAGAAGTGGCTTTACAAAAGAGTTCTCCAAAGTAGCTTAAAAGGCAGGGCCAGGGCCATTATGTGCAGCCCTAATTGCTTTCATTTCAACCAGTTTATGTTTTCATTTTCAAAGAATAGCAGTAGGTTTGTTTTAAGCACACGTAGTAAGGAAATTACAGGTTTCCTCCACCCACATTTGGGCTGTCACTGATATGTCCGCGGGCAATCTGGCAGAGCCTCAGTCACCGCTGTCACTGTACCACACCGTACCTGCCACTACTTGGAAATACCGGGTCATCGATAGTAACAATAGCAACAGCACTCGAGGTGACTGATAAGCAAACTCAAAGTCCACCTGCACTATCTGAAAATTAAATAAAAAATAATAAAAATAAAGTAAATCAGCCTCTCCCCCACCTCCCCAGCTTCATCCAAAGACACAAAAGCCCCAGAAGTGACACTCAAGACCTTCACAGATGACAAGTGCTACGCTGGCGCCTTTGCCAATCGTGTAACTGAAGTTCATTATAAAAACTCCACGTTATGGTATGCAATTGGAGAATAAAGGCAGTTTTGTACTCTTACAACTGATCACGTGGACTGCGGTCAACTTTGCCTTTAGAAAAAAAATAACCAAAACAAAAAAGAAACAAAACCACACCACCAAACCAAAAACAAACCAACCCAGAAATCCCTAACTCAACAGCGCCGCTCAGACACCTCTCCACACCCTACTCCGGAGGCAACTTCCCTTGGGAAACACGAAAGAATTTGGGACTGGATGTGGCGGCTCTGCCATCGCAACCGGAGCCGCCGCGGCGCAGTTCTGGGAGAAAGCCCTCCTGCTCCCTAAGCTCGCCCGGCCGGCGGGGTGGCAAAAAGCATCCCCACCTCGGCTAGCCACTCTTCTCCCCATCTGCCTCAGACCAAGCTGCATGCGACCAGCTTTACAGGACAGGGACCAGGAATAAGGAATCACAGACAGTAAGGCAATCTTTACAATGTCAGAAAGTGTATTTGGCATTAAAAAAAAAAAAAAAAAAGGAAAAAAAAAAAGAGAAAAAGAAAAAAAAAGAAACAAGTGCATACAAATACAGCTAGAAGCATTTCTGGTTTGCCAAGTGCTCTAAAAAAAGCAGCGCAAGTCACAGCCTACATTGAACAGTAACTGTCACCAGGGAAGCACAACAAATAGTTGCTATAACAAAAGGGCAAAAGAAAAAAAAAAAAGGAAAGAAAAAAGAAAACCCAAAAAAAGGATAATTAGAAGAAATGCCTTTATAATAAGTACATACCTTTTGTCTTCAAAAAATATAGAAACACAATGTATTCAAAAAAATCAAAATTATACAGCCATGTTTATGAAGTCTACATTTCCCTTGTCTTGGAGATATATATATATATATTTATAGATATATACAGAATTCGAGCAGTTCGAGTTCAAGGTGACGTCGGGCAGCGACAGCGGGCAAGTCACGAGTCCCTCTCCTTTTTCACTTTCACATCTCCGGCCAGGATGGTGGCGATCTCCCCCTGCATGAAGGCCCATGGCACGTTGGAGCCGACCAGGGGGCACTTCTCCCCGCTGGGACAATACACCTCCCCGCTTGCGCCCTGCTGCTTGATGCTCTGCCGGGAGCAGGGGAAGCAGAACTTGTGGGACGGGACGGAGGGGCACTGCACGAAGTGGGTGTCCTCCAGGCGCTCGTGGCAGAGGGTACAACACAACGGGACGCTGGCGGCGAGGGACGAGTCCGGCAGGCTGGCGGGGTGGACCGGCTCCAGCCCGCCAGCCGCGTTGGCCCCCTGGCCGGGCACCTCCCTGCCGGGGCCCAGCCTTCTTTGGTTCATGGCGGAGGGCGAGGGGGGGCTGCTGCTGTTCCTCCGCGTGGTGGAGTGGACCTGGTTGGCGTCTTTGGAGGCGTGGTTGCCCCCGGCATTGTCCGCCACCAAAATGAGGGCGGCCATGGGGGATTGGCCGTTCTGGGCCGCCTCGGGCGGCGTGGTCCGGTTGGAGTGGGGCGAGGCGGTGGGCGGCGGGGGCGACATGAAAGGGGGGGCCGTCAGCGGCAGCTTCATCCCTTCCGACGAGGTGGGCAGCCAGGGCTGCACCTCCCCGTTTATCTTCGGGGGTCCCGCCTCGCCCTCCGGCTCGGGGGAAGGCTTCCTTTTCCGGGCGGCCCGGGCCCCTGTAAGGATACAGGGAAGAAAGGAAGGGGAAGGGTGAGAAGGCAGCGCAGTCGCAACCAACTGCCGAGCACACGGGCTACAGCCGTGCAGCCACATAAACGGGGAGCTGCGGCCGCTCCCTGGCCACCCCCAGGCCACCCGGGCTGTCGGGTCGAAGCCGCCCGTCATCCTTCGTCCCGCACGCCAGAACCACCCCTCCTCGCCCTGTCCTGCTCTCCCCAGCCCTGCCCGCCACCCCGCAGTCCCCGCCGCCTCACCTGGCTTGGCCACGGCACCGTTGGTCTCGTAGCCCAGCAGCCTGCCGCCCGCCATGCCTGGCTCCTTCTTGAACTTGCTGTCGAAAGGGGGTACGGCGTGGCCGCCGTGCTGGTGCAGGGCCAGCAACGTGTCCCGCACCGTCTTGGGCTTGGCCAGCCATTCCTCGCTGCCCCCTCGGCCCTTGGCCTCGGCGGCCAGCTCTGCAGCCGCCGCTGCTGGCAGGCTCTCTGCCGATCCCCGCTTCTCCTTGGCGCCGCTGTCGTGCTCCCCCGCCGCGCTGCTGCCACCGCCGCCCGAGGAGGATGAGGAAGAGGAAACGGAGCCAGGGCGCTTGTGCCCCAGCTCGCCGGGCTGCCCTGCTGCCTGCCCAGCCGCTTGCGCCGCCGCCGTCGGCTGCTGGGGGACGGGCACGGCCATCGGGGCTGGAGCGGCGGAGATGGCGGCCAGCGAGGCGGCGGCAGCAGCGGCGGCGCGGCTGCTCAGGCCGCTGATGGCGGCGGGGAGCCCGGCGCCGTTCACCAATGGCACCAGGGTGGGCGGCACAGCGTGCGTCCGCCGCGGGTTGGGGCTCTGCCGGTTGAGCTCGGGCGGCTCTTCGGGCTTGGGGAAGCCGTTAGGCACCAAGATGCCGTTCACCTGCCGGCCGCCGCCGTATTCGGCACCCAGGCGGGGCGGCGGCCGCTCGGCCGTCAGCGAGTAGCGCTCCAAGGGCTGCGGCGGGGGCCGCGCCGCCGCCTCCGCCGCCGCGGGGTGGCCGAGCTGCTGCTGCTGCGCCAGGAGCTCCTTGGCAGAGAGCGGCGGCTGCTTGGAGTGGGGCGGCGGCGGGGCCCGGCCCTCGGAGAAGCAGCCGTGCGCCCGCTTCAGCTGCCGCGCCGTGTCGATGACGAACTCCACGCGGTCGGCGCCCTCGTAGTTAACGCAGCCCCGGCAGACGGGCTCGGTGAAGTCCCAGATCATGGCCCAAGGCATGCGGGGCAGGTCGCACAGGTAGCACGACTGCCTGCGGGAAGCAGCCGCCACCGCCGCCGACGACATGTCCCGTTCCCGGGGCAGCGGCGAGCGCCCCCCGCTCCGGCTCCGGCCGACGCCTCCTCCGCCCCTCGCCACCGGAGTCCCGACGGGGAGGCTCGGCCGCCGCGGGACCCTCCGCCGGGCCCCCTCCCCTCGCCTTCCTCTTCCGTGCGCTGAAGCGGGGCGCTGCGGGCGCCCCGGCAGGCAGAGCTGCTGCGGGGGACGCCGCTCCCCTCGCCGTCTCCGCCGGCGGCGCTCACAGGGCGGCGGGGACGCGCATCTCCGCGGCGCGGCTGGCGCAGGGCTGCGTCCGCTGCCGCCCGCACGGCTCCCCCGCTCGCTGGCTACTACGGGGCGGCGGGGGCCGGCGCGGCGCTGCGGGGCGGGCGGGGCGGGGACTGCCGCGGGGGCCGGAGCCGGGGCTGGCGGCGGCGCCGTGCCGGGCTCCAGCCGCCACCGCCGCCTCTGCGCGCCGCCACCTCGATTCTTCGACAGTGCCGGCCGCGCCTGCGCGATGGGCGCCTCCGCCCCGTCGCCGCGATCCCGGCCCCGGCCCCTGCCCGCGCCCCCCGGCAGCGCCACCGGGGGTTCCTCCCGCCGCCGGGGGGCCGCTGCGCCCCCGCCCCGTCTCGCCTTTGAGGGGGGCTGTGGGAGCGGAAAGGGTCAAGGCGAGCGGTGTGCTGCGGCTCCCCCCTTCTGCCATTATTTTTATTATTGTTTTTATTACTGTTTCCTGCACCGCCGAGAGGCTTTGCCGAAACCGGCCACCCGCGGACCCAGAGATGCGCAGGGCGCCTCCCGCGCTGCGAGGCTCTCTGTATGTCTCTACCCCCGCCCCGCTCGGCTGGTGACCTTGGGCACGGCACGGCGCCCCGGACGCGCCCCTCGGCTGCGAGTCCCCCCATATGCCCCTTGGGGCCGGGCCGGGCCACCTCCGGGCAGGGGCCGGCGCCCTCCCGCCGGTGCCCGGCTTTGTTCTACCTGCCGGGGCAAGAGGCACCGTTATAAATAAATACGACGATTACTCGGTTTTTTTAACTGTTTTCATTGTGCACAGGAAATAGTACGTTCTAGATTTCCTGCCCTTTTCAACCACAGAACAGCGGCTCTCTAATGCAGATTAGCAAAATTCACACAAAGTAAGCACACACCGCCTCCTCCCCGAAAAAGAAAAACCTGCAGACATGTTTCCCCGTCCCCCTTCCACGCTACCAATCGCTTATCTGCCGCGGAAACACATGGCGTAGGGAAGGCAGGGAGGAAAAGAAGGTGTTTGCTCTTCCCGTTTGCCTCGGGAGGTGAAGCAACCGCTCACCGAACGCACCCCGGGAAGTATGGCCGGCTGCAAGCCTCTGCCCGGCCCGGGTAAACACAGCAGAAACTGCTTCCCCCGACCGCCGCTCTGGGGCTGCCCTTCCCACTGCGTTATGTAGGTTACGGGGGGAGGGAGGGAGGGCGGGCAGGAGGCGGAGGCCGGCCGGGGCCGGGGAAGCTCTGACGTCCGCAGCCGCTGACGGGAGGTGGCTCTCCACGGCTGGCAACCCCCCGACGGGGAGGACGGGGCGCTGCGCGGCCCGGCCCCGCGGGAAGCACCGCGTCCTTGCTGCTGCCCACGGCCCGGCGCGGGGCTGCGGTGCCCGCCACGGCCCCGCGCTCCCGCCGCAGCCCGCCGGGACGGGGGCTGTATGGTGAGGCCGCCGGTGAACCGCGGGGGGAAGGGCTTTGCCTTGCCCCGCCGTCCTCCCCGTCTTGGCAGTGGCTCCCAGCACCGGCCTCCGTGCCAGGCAGGGTGACTTTGCAACCGCACGCCCGGCTGAGCGCCCTGGAGGCGCCGCGCTCTTGACAAGCAAAACAAAAGCTCGGGCCGACTCCTGACGCAGCCACGCACGTCGGGGCAGCGGCCACGGTAGCTGGCCTCGGAGCTCTCACTGCTCTGCAGCAGCCGGCCGGGGCAGGAGGAAGGCGAAGGGGACAGCTCGGCCGCGGCGCGGCCCCGGCGTGTCCCCGGGGAGCCAAGGGTTAACCTCGGCTCTCTTTTCCCGAGCAGCCCTCCTTTCACATTGCATCAAAGTCCTTTAAAGCTGTTTCTCTTCCCTCCTCCCCTCCCCGGCAAGAAAGACGCTTTATCCATGCATGCTAAGTAAACAGATCTTTGTTTTCGTCTTCCACCCACTGCCCTCTTTCTCCAGCCCGGAGCTGGAGCCTCGCCAAGCCGGCTGCAGCGATTGCTGCCTGCACACACACACGCTCACACACACACATACAGGGGGAAGAACCGGGTTTCTCGGGTGAGGCAATGCGCCTGCAGTTGGCAGGGACAAGGCAGGAATTGTAATTGCACTTCATCATGTGATGGCTTATGAAAGAGGAAGTTTGGATGTTTTAGTCACGTACTCCTTTGGCCTCTTGCTTTAGCCTCCAGGTTCTCCGAAGGAAAAAATTACATATATTTATATATACTGGTGGAAAGCCAAGAAACTCTGTGTTTGCACATTTCAGATCATGAGCTGAGCTGGAGTGCTAGCTGAGGGAGGCTGCAGGGGAAGAAGAAAGCAAAGCTTTCAGCTGTGGCAGGCTTTTAACTGCAGGACAGAAATGTGATCTGTATTTATTTTCGTTTATTTCTCATGAAAACAAGCTGCTTGGAAAAGTCGAGATGAGCTGTCTTCTGGCTTTGCCGCATTTGCTGAATTTGAATTTGTTCTGGTGGAAAAGGCAAAACCCCCATACATTTTACTGAGCTCTGTGTCAAAAAGCTGATAAAATAATAGTGGCAGTGCTACATAGGAAATGTGGTTTATGTATCAAATAAAAAAAAAAAAGTGCTCAAAGCTGCTGACTGTTACAGCAGTAACTCCATAGAAATTGAATAGATAATGCATTTGTTTCTTGTTCCTTTTTTTCTGAAACGGAAACCATCCCTTTGTTTCTGATCTCTACAGAATGCCCCTCACTATGACATGCCAATGCTACAGATAGGAGTAGCCAGTGGAGGAGGGCACCCGATGGGGCATGGAGGCTATGCAGGTCTGCAGGTCTGGGTGACGAGGATCACCATGATGTCATGGATGGGGGCCCAGCACAGTGTGGGAGGCCTTTGCCTTTTCCTGGTTGTGCCCAGTGTCATGGTTGGGGGAAAGAAGGGAGAGGAGAGGTTGGAGTGTGACAGCTGTTCAAGGTGATCCCCCCACATCGATGCCATGGTGAAACCTTTCTCACCCTGTGTTTTATGGCTGTTTTCAATGAACCACACTGAGATCTTGCTGTGTTTCTCCTCTTCCCTCTCTTGAGGGTCCTATTTTCCTTCCCGCCTTTCCTCTGCACTGGTGGCAGTCATTGCACACAGCCCCTTGTCCCAGAGCTGTGCCCCCAGCCTGTACTTCACACACATACCCTTCCTCTGTGGGGCCTCCCCTTCCTTCTGTGTCCATACCAGTGCTCCTCACCTGCTCCCTTCCCTCAGCATTCCTCTTTCCCTCTGGATTGAGAGCTGCCCCACATCCTCCTGCAGGGAGGCACTGCTTCCTCCTTGGGTCTTATTTGCATCCTGCTGAGGCAGAAGTCCTGGAGGGTATTAGCAAAATGGCCAGAGCTAAGATGGGAAAGGTGATTATGCTGGAGGGTGCTACCCTCTCCTTTGATCTGTAACAAATTATGGAGGCTGCTTTCCCAGAACTGAGAAGGGAGAGGGTGGGAACAGTCCTTGAAGGTTTGGATTTGGTCAGATGCAGGTGATTTGGGGCCAGTAAGCACACCACAGCAGTGTCATTGTGGCTGAAAGCAATACTTGCCAGCTCACCTTGCAGAAACCTGACAGCAGATTACAGCCTCTGCCAGCGCACAGCTGGGTGTTCAGTCGTTACATACATGGTATAATGTTTGTAGAGTCTGCGGAGAGGAGGGCTCAGGTGGGAACGGGGAGGGGGGCCTTGCCTCTACTCCAGGGACCTCCTGACTTTATGGCATCTCTGCCATTTTCATTCCTATGGGAGATGGCAGGTTGCTCCAGTGGATTTTCCAGAAAGCTGAATGAACCCAGGTTTCAGTGGGCTTCTTGCCTAGGTGGGGATTAGGTGATTTTTGACAACAGTTCAAAAGCCCCTAAAGCGACTGCTGGATCTTGCTTGTAGGCAGCTGCCCATGTTTGCCTGTAAGAATGGGCTACTGGTAGAAACACTTTAGAAACACTGGTAGAAACATTTTAGAAACACTGTTAAGTATTGATTGTAATTTTAAATTATCATAATTTTGAAAGTGAATCCCCCTGCACACATTTTAGGGATGAGTTTTGACATGTACAATTCAAAGACCAGTTCAGGTGCTGTCTGTTCTCGTGTTGATGCTGGTCCCAAAGCGAGACTCATGGCACACTAGAAGCAGAAAAATCTTGGAGAAAAAGATCAATCCCTATCCAGCAGTGTTTTATTTAGTACCATAGAGGGAAAAAAGGAGATACTGGTGCAAACAAGAGTATCATCAGGGACAGCCTGTTGACATAAATAGGCTTTGGACAGGCTCACAGTAAGCCACTGATCCTGCAGATGTTTACAACCACTTATAACTTTATTCACAGGAGCATCACTATGAATGTAAAGCCACGTGCACTTATGTGCTCACAGGACGACAGTGCACTTCCTCGAGAGCAGCTCATCATCGGTGTGCTGATGGCTGCCCTGCCCTGCAGGCTGCAGCTGACTGCTGATGGCAGGAGCTGACAGAGGCACTGGCAGAAAATGCTCCTCTGAGGCCGGAGGGAGGTAACCACACTTGCTCCCTGCAAGGCAGGACGTGCTGGAGGATTAAGAGGGACCTGAGCAGCTACCCAGGGTCTGCTTTTTGCTATACATTGGGGGCTTTTATTACCTCCTTGAAGACAGTAATTTTGAACAGTGGTGTTTGATGTAGGTTTCTGAAGAATGGTCAGGCACCTAAGCAGAGCCTGCCTAGAACAGGAAACAGCAGCAGGACACTGGTATGCCGTTAGTTCACAGATATCTCCCAAAATATGGAGATGCTATGTGTGCTGCTATTCTGCTATGATTTTTTGCTCTGAAAAGTTTGGGCAGAGTTAGTTACCAGGGGATCGCAGTGCGAGCAAGGAGTTGGATGCTATAGCTTCTGCTCCATTGGTGGGCTCTAACCTAGGCGGTTTAGAGCAAAAACTGCATGATTTCTTTAAAAAAGGAAACACTTTAACTGAGCAGCTGAATTACACCCTCTTTTCAAATAGCAGTAGAAAAAAAGCAGAGAGGAAAACATCTTGGAAACTTGAGAAATTCAGAGGTTACTACCCTCTGAAGAGAAATAAAAACTTCAGAGGGATACTTCCCAATGCCAGAAGAAAGGGCAATTGATGT